TGGAGTCTGTTTCTGAAGTTTTTTTGTTGAAGAATTGTAACTTTTAGGTCTGTAATCGAGTGACCAAAGAGATTGAAGTGTTCTCCAACTGGTTTTTGAATATTATAATTCTTGACGTCTGATTTGTGTCCATTTATTCTTGTACGTAGAGACTGTCCGGTTTGACCAATGTACATGGCAGAGGGGCATTGCTGGCACATGATGGCATATATCACATTGGTAGATGTGCAGGTGAACGAGCCTCTAATAGTGTGGCTGATGTGATTAGGTCCTATGATGGTGTCCCCTGAACGGATATGTAGACAGAGGTGGCAACGAGCTTCGTTGCAAGGATAGGTTCCTGGGTTAGTGTTTTTGTTGTGTGGTGTGTGGTTGCTGGTGAGTATTTCCTTCAGGTTGGGGGGGCTGTCTGTAAAAGGACTGGCCTGTCTCCCAAGATCTGTGAGAGTGATGGGTCTTCCTTCAGGATAGGTTGTAAATCCTTGATGATGCGCTGGAGAGGTTTTAGTTGGGGGCTGAAAGGTGATGGCTAGTGGTGTTCTGTTATATTCTTTGTTGGACCTGTCCTGTAGTAGGTGCCTTCTGGGTACTCTTCTGGCTCTATCAATCTGTTTCTTCACTTCCGCAGGTGGGTATTGTAGTTGTAAGAATGCTTGATAGAGATCTTGTAGGTTTTTGTGTCTGAGGGGTTGGAGCAAATGTGGTTGTATCGTAGAGCTTGGCTGTAGACAATGGATCCTTGGCTGTAGACAATGGATCGTGTGGTGTGGTCTGGATGAAAGCTGGAGGCATGTAGGTAGGAATAGTGGTCAGTAGGTTTCTGGTATAGGATGGTGTTTATGTGACCATCGCTTATTAGCACCATAGTGTCCAGGAAGTGGATCTCTTGTGTGGACTGGTCCAGGCTGAGGTTGATGGTGGGATGGAAATTGTTGGCATCATGGTGGAATTCCTCAAGGGCTTCTTTTGCTTTCTTTTTGATGATGAAGATGTCATCGATGTAGCACAAGTAGAGTAGGGACATTAGGGGACGAGAGCTGAGGAAGCTTTGTTCTAAGTCAGCCATAAAAATGTTGGCATACTGTGGGGCCATGCGGGTACCCATAGCAGTGCTGCTGATTTGAAGGTATACATTGTCCCCAAATGTGAAATAGTTATGGGTGAGGACAAAAAGCACATTCAACAACCATTCTACATCTGCTGAGAGTGTAATTAAACTTTCTTTTGCCAGGTCCTCTGAATTCAGGGTACAGTTTCATAAGCCAAAAGCAAAAGAGGGTACACGAGGTCTCCCAGAATATAAAAGGGGACAGTAACTCTGTTTATGACCATATCATTTGGTGGGACTAGTATCCCAGCCTGTCCGTGAATGTATATGACCAGTGAAAAACTCTGGCATCATGGATTTTTATGTCTGCCGCCGTGGGGTAAACCACACCCCTGATTGCATCAGAAACTTCCACCAGCACTTCACCCCCAGTTGATTTTCCAAACCCAACCTGGTTGGCAATGGACCAATAGCAGTCTGAGGTAGACAGCTTCCAGATTGTTATAGCAACCTGCTTCTGGACCAGCAAGGCCTCTCTGATGCATGTATCTTTACCCTGGAGGGTTGAATCAAGTTGCTCACAAATTTCCAGAAATGTAGCTTTCTTCATGTGAAAGTTCTGGACCCACTGCTGGTCATCCCAGGTCTGCATGACCATGTGATCCCACTGATCTGTGCTTGTAGCCCTGTGCCAGAAGCCCCAGTCTACGTAGGGGGGCATCAGCAGCTAAACTGAGTGTCATGAGCAGCATCAGCCAGTTCAAGTCTGCCACATCTCTGTCATCACCTACCTCTTTCTCCTTCTTTTCCTGCTTAATCATAGGCTCTGTCAGGTGCCTTTAGTGAGTCAGGAAGTGCCGCTGCAATGTCCACTAGTGCCTCATGGAAGTTCTGTCCATTTCCTGACATGGGAGTGAAAGAGCAAGCAAGAGAAGCTCTTCAAAAAGTTCCTCCTCCATGTTGCTGGCTCTGGGAGCTGAGAGCACACAGACCAAAAAGTCTGCTCAGCAGGATGTGTTGTCAGGCTGTTCAAACTTTCTGTAGTAGGCAGGTGAACTGTCAAGTTTTCCCACAGTGCACCACAGTCAAAGGGCTTTTGACTCAGATCTGTGTGCTACAGCATTGATGGCAGAGCCCCAGGTTTGAGACTGGTTTAGAAAATTCTTACTGTAGGGTAAACAATCAGTGTAGATGTTCAAGCCCTGGGTTCGCTAACCAGGCTCAGGTGACTCAAGTCCCACTAATCCTGGCCTTGCATTGCAATGTAGACATACCCTTAGTGCTATATAGGCCACTTGGCCTTCCCTAGCCGCAGGGTCCAGGCTCCTCTGTCCCATCCTGCACCCAGAGCCACCATCTGAAAGATACCCAGGAATATAGTGGGATCATCCATAACAGCCCATCTTCCAGGGCCCAGTCCCTGTGCACAGCTGCCATTCCCTACCAAGGGACTCACTGTCCTTTGCAGTAACTGCTGCTGCACATTCTCTTGCTCTTTGATGACGCCCTGCAGACTCTCTTGCTGCTTTGCCTACCAGGCAAGCAATGTCAGCCTCTCCAGGTGGTGCTGGAAACCTTACAGAGTCTTCTGCATCTCCTCTTGCTGTTTCACTAGCCTTTGCAGGGTCTTCTCCAGTGTCGAGGCCACTGAACCCTCCTGCTGGCTATGACCCCAGACAAACCCCCCTTGTCTAACAGGGCATCATCCCGCTCATGTCTCTTTTCTAGCCACAAACTGCTTGGAGACCTTCTGGTCAAACACCTCATGCAATTTATTTTCAGTGTCCTTTCCACCACCCTTAGAGACTTGTGCAGCTCTGTATTTACAATGGCACACACTTTGCCAAGGAGCGGGAGAGACTGAAAGTATCTTTCCCCCTTTGAGATCTTTCCTGACTTCGACACTGAAGAGCCTGCCAATCTCTCTCCTCCCTGTCCCCCTCTTTGGTAATGGGATAATTAGCTTTTGGGGGCTCTCCTCAGACCATTCCAATCTATAAATTAGGCACAGCTTTCCTGCCTTAGGGATGACTCCTGAGCAATGTAATTGATGATTTAATGATCAGAGTGCTCGTACAGCTGCGGTTGGCCAGCACTCTGTCACAATTGCTGAAGTCACTGAACCCAAATTAAATGAACAGCACGTAGCCATTGAGGAGTCATGCAAGCTTTGCTTTTGCATAGACCCAAGCAATTGAAATAGAGCACTAAAAAGAGCTCAGTACAAATGCCTGCAATTGAACAAATCATGAGATCAATCTCATATGCCTTTCAGAAAGAGCCAGGGAAGTATATCTAATGTTGAATAAAACAAGATGAAATTGTGATGGACTGCAGTATTATACATGGGAAAACTTGCTGACCTCCCAAGGGCTACAACCTTGGGATAGATCATAGTATTATAGTATTGGTGGGATAGCCAATAGTATTATTTCAGATAATGCCGCTAGAGGGGGACTATTGTACAATCCACTAAAAACGAGAAAAAACAAGGAAAGAACTCGATATTATACAATATCCTCGTGCAGGATACATAGGTAGTGACATTGAGTAAAAGAGAAATTCTGGAATATGTAAAATGAGATGATTACAGTACAATCTGAAGATAGAAAACAGGCTGTAATTTAGGGAGATGGCTTTAAATATCTAGCAATAAAGAAAAAAATTGTGAATTGGCTTCCTTGAAAGAGAAGAAACAAAAAGAATATCTGCTCTACATAAGGATACAAAAAGCCAAGAGCAATACAGAATATTAATAAATGTAAGGGGAAAATTCAGTTTTTCTGCTGACTAAAGAGCCAAAGTCACAATAAAGCTAATCAAAAGATCCTGCTTTAGAAAGGTCAATAAACCTGATAATATTTTGTCTCATCCTCTTAGGAGAGTTCATGGGAAAGCTATCTGTCGAATTAAAAACCAAGGAAGGTATGACAAAAAATCCAATAGCTATTATACCAGCTTTCAGGATTTGAATACTAATTTATATGCATCACAATGTATAAATCCCTCAGAACAGCTAGAGAAAAACAAAAACACCTTTATTTTTGGAAGAAGATACAGTTAGTTTAGATGAACCAGTGTCTGGAGCTTGAAACAAAAAGTCCAGAACGAGACTGCTAAAAAGAAGCAAAAGCAAAACTTTTTAGAAGAACTCAATCATTTTATTGGGCAGGGTCTGTACTAAAATACAAGGGAAGGGTATATTCCCCGAAACTGTAGCATGCTATCACCACACCATTACACAAGAAGGAAAAACCAACAGTTGACTAAGGGCCAATTTCCCTTCTGAATGTACACATCACAAATTTTGCCAGTGTATTGCCAACAATATTAGAGGCAGTAGTTAAACAATTGATAGATTCATAAAGAGCAGACATATTTAATCTCTGGAAAACAGTACTCAGACAATCTACGGTGTACATTAAATTCCATCCCCTCAGCCTGGATAAAGAAACAGAAATTTGATCTGAGTGGCCTTTTCTGAGGGCTTTCTTGAACTATATATTGATTTGGTCTGACAATTAGAAAACAAATATTTTATACTTACCCCAAAATATAATATCTTATAATAATAAAGGGCTCCTTTAATAAAGAAATATATAATGTAACTGGAATATGCTTCATCCAAAAAGTCTCTTGTAAAGTATCATAACAAGCTTATAATCTGAGTGTGGTCATCCTATTTGTATAAATGTATCATTCTTGTATATGAAACTAGAAATATGAAATATAACTCTGTATATTGTAATTATGCAAAGTGTGGGCCATTAATGGTGGTTTGGAATCTTGATGGCTCCCATCAACTAGGACAACTGGTTGTAAATGGCTCCGTTTACTTGCAAGCCTATCTGTGAGTCAGGCTGGGAAGAATGAAGGCTTGGGGTCTCACAGGACATGTGACCATGTCACCTGGTACTGGAATTCATCTTAAACTTGGTGCTTTTCCACTTAGAAGGAGGGGTGGGAACCCAGAGAGACAAAAGATTCCCACCTTTATGCCAAAGCTATAAAAGGGGGTGGAACAGAACAAAGGAGGCTGCAGTCATGAGAAATCCCCTAGTTACCACCTGAGCTGGAACAAGGACTGTACCAGGGGAAAGGATTGGGCCCAGACGAGGAAGGACTCCAGTCTGTGAAAGAAGCTTATTGGAACATCTCTGAGGGTGAGATTTTATCTGTAATCAGTTTCTTAAAGTATTAGGCTTAGAGTTGCATGTTGTGTTTTATTTTGCTTGGTAACTTTCTTTGTTCTGTCTGTTATTACTTGAAACCACTTAAATCCTACTTTTTATACTTAATAAAATCACTTTTGTTTATTGATAAACCCAGAGTAAGTAATTAATACCTGGGGGAGCAAACAGCTGTGCATATCTCTATCAGTGTTATAGAGGGCGGATAATTTGAGTTTACCCTGTATAAGCTTTATACAGAGTAAAACAGATTTATTTGGGATTTGGATCCCATTGGGAACTGGGTATCTGGGTGCTAGAGTCAGGAGTCCTTTCTAAGCTTTTTTCAGTTAAGTCTGTAGCTTTGGGGGCGAGGGTCAGACTCTGGGTCTGTGTTGCAGCAGATTAGCATATCTGGCTCCAAAAGACAGAGCACTGAAGTCCCAAGCTGGCAGGGAAAACGGGCTCAGAGATAGTCTCAGCACATCAGATGGCAGTCCCAAAGGGATCTCTGTGACCCAACCCGTCAGAACTAGTTTTACATGTTCCTAGTAAAAATACCAAAGATAATCTTGGAAAAATTAGAAAAAAATGCAAGTAGGGTTTTATGGATCTTTAAGAACCCTCAAGTCAAAAGGAAAATTTACATTTCTCTTCCATGCAGGGAGGAACTGGATTTCCAAACTATAAACAGTATTATTGGACAAAGTTCAGAATAGCAGACTGAAATAAAAATTAAAATAATTTACCCTAGATCCAAATGGAGAATGATTTGACTAAAACCAGATCTCCCTTTACTATACTATGGACAAAGAATAAGGAGCGTATTCTTAAGGGACAGTCTTTAATTATGGCAATACTAAGGCATAAGTAATTGGGAAAGTGTTCTTACAGAAAATGGATTGCTATATTATAACTTATTTCAGAGTAGAGGATTTATATCACTGTCCAATATCAAAGAGAAGAGGGTTGGGGGTCTTCATAATTTTTCTTTGTGCCTATATTTCCAGATGCATAGCTTTCCAATAGAAAAAAAATAAATAACTCAAGGCATCATGGACTTAGTTTTGTTTCAGGGTTCTCAGTGGAAAAAAGTTGCAAAAAGAATTTATTAAAGCTTACATAGTTTGAACAAAAATAATAAAATAAGCCATAAAGATAAACAGAAAAAGCATTCTACTAACCAAATAGAAAAGGAAGAATGAAACTAAATAATATTGTACACCTAAAGGAGTGCCTTATACCTGTAATTTGATGGAAACATGGTATAAACTCCTATTCTGTTAGACTCCTTTCAGTTTATGGGCCATGAAATTATTGCCTCATACACTGTGTTGGTGAAACTAGTATAATGTAAAGGGAACAGAAAATCTGGAATTGGGATGTGCTTCAAAATACAAACATAATGATAGAAAATAGTGTTACCAAAAGTAGTAGTAGTATTGAGTTCTCCCTGCAAGAAATAATATCTAGAAATAGATAATACAGAAGTAGCAAATGCTAAAACATAAATGGTTGTGAAAATGTAGTTCTTGTGCATAGTGGATGTTGGAAATGGAGCACTGGTTCTATTAATTTCAAAACAAATGGAAGAACTTTAAAGCTGTGCAGTTTCCTTTATTAAATTACATGACAAATATTCTCAAGATGTGTTATCTAGAAGAGAGAGAAGTGGACAAATTAACAATTTATGATGAAATGGGACTGATTCCAGCTCTACCTTTGTGAAGTATTAGAGTCTTTTGTGGTTGCTTGCATATTAGTAGTGTAAGATATAAAATTATTTCATAATGATTTTCAAGTTTATCAAGTGCATGTTAGATATTTAATGTGTGCCATTGAATATTTGGCTTTTGGTTTTATGTTTGATATTTTTCCCCTTTTTTATTTTGTTTTTAGCTCTAACAGTTATAGAGCAGATGTGTTATAAATAGGCTTGGCAGGATTTGAGTGAAATCGTTAGACATCTGTAAATGTCATTTTCACCTGACACACAGAAATAGACAAAAACAAATACATCGATAACAGTCAATATGTACAGCCTCCCTCACGTATAGTGCCCCCCACCCCCAGGATCCAATGTCACTGGCTGCACAGGGAGCCCTCTGCAGCCCTGCTGTCATTGCCCTCATTCACCCACTGGCCAGGAGTAAAAGGTCTGTCTCTGGGCACGAGCCATTCAGCAGTGATGTGGCCAGTGGCTGGTCCTCCGCACTGCAGCCCTGGCTGGGGGTCTCGGCACCACTGGCCAGCACTACAGTCTACCCCACACCTTGCACCCACGTGTCTTGGGCCCCTTGATCACACTGGGAGCCCCCTGTAGTCTCACTTTCAGCACTGCCCTAAGCCCATCCTCCCTTATTTTCCAACAACTGTGAAATTTGAAATAGATAAAATTAGGAAAAAATGCTTAAAACCCATAATTTTGCACAACTGAGGAAATTAAAATAGTGTGACAGGGTCGGGCCAGATGGCTACAGGAGAGTAATAGAAGGCAGATATCTTAGCCCCAGGTTAAGTAGATCCCTTTTCCCTGGGTAAGGTAACAGGGAAGGTTTTTTTTTTTTTTTTTTTTTTTTTATTGAAACAGAAAAGAAATTTATTTGTAACAATTACAGAGAGTACAAAAGGATAAAAAAAAACTTAGCAACAACACAACGCAATCAGAAGGTATAACACAACAGCTTTTCAGGAGGGAGAGGTGTTCAGGTAGCCCAGGCCCAGAGCGGGGGGGCTTCCTCGACACTCGCGGTCTTCCACCCTCCTGAGTTACCTGGTGGCCTAGAGCGGGGGGGCTTCCTCGACACTCGTGGTCTTCCACCCTCTCGAGTTACCTAGTGCCACGCCCAGGGTCACCGACCCTCCCTCTCCCGAGAGTGCCCGACAAGATGGGCACGGCTGCGGGGTGGGTGGTTGGGAGGGAAGGGGGTACACCCATGTATTATAGGACCCCTCCTAGAAGACAGTAATGATGGTATTCACAGCAACTAACGGCTGTGACTGGCGGCTCTCGCTCTTTCCCTCAATCAGAGGGTCAGACGGAGGGAACCGGACGGGGTCACCGAGCAGAGAACCCGGACAGCGCCCACCGCTCCTCAAAGGTGTCAAGGGAGTCGGTGGACGCTGCCCAGAGGAACTCCGCCCGGATACGTGAATGTACTGAGAGTCGGAAACGGCCTCACAATCGCAGGACGCCTCATGAGCCAACCTCCGCTCTCTGGTCTTATAAATGGCTGTTTTAGCCAAGGCTAGGAGGAGGTTAACCAGGAGATCCCGCGACTTGGTGGGGCCACGGATGGGGAGTGTATAGATAAAGAGGTGGGGGGAGAAATGAAGCCAAAAGCGCAAAAGAATATTTGTGAGGAGCCGAAAAAGAGGCTGCAATCTGGCACACTCTAAATAGACGTGCGCCAGGGTTTCCCTCACGTTGCAAAAAGGGCAAGTCTCCGGAAGGGAGGTAAAACGTGTCAAAAACACGCCCGTGCTCACAGCCCCGTGAAGGAGCCGCCAACTGATGTCCCCGACGGGCCTCGGGACCAAGGTGGAGTACAGGCTGGCCCACCGAGGTTGCTCACCCTCCAAAGGTGGTAAGAGATCTCGCCACTTTGTATCGGGGCGGGACACCAGGGTGCGGGCATGAAGGGTATGAAGCGTGAGTGTATATAAATATTGCCGTGATGCAACTTGAAAACCGACCGGTTGCAGTTCATGCAGCCGGCTTGCAGTGAAAGGATGAGGGGTGTGTTGGGATCGGCAGGGTAGGGGCCCAACGAAAAGGTCCGGTGGGCCTGGGGTAAGGGATGGGCGGGGTGCGCCTCGCGCAAGGCTCGGCTAACATAAGCCCGAGCGGCGGGGGTCAGAGCGGCCTCCACCTCCTGAAGCACGCGCCGGGGGTGCGAAGGCTGGAGAGCCCCATGCGTCGAGCGAGCGTCAGGGGATCCAGCCAGTCCCCCCGGTCGTAGTCCAGGAGGTCCCCGACCCTCGTAACTCCCGCCAGGACCAACCTCTGGCGCACCGTGCGGGACTCCGCCGCCTGCACACAGAGTTGGGGGTTGTGTAGCAGGGGCTCCGTGAGGAGATCTGCCCCCACGATGGCCGCCACGGACCTGGTCGTTGAAAACAGTTTCCAGGCCCGGAGGAGGTCCTGGTAGAAATCCGGCAGCCCGGAGAGGTCTCGCGGAAAACCTCTCGGACAAAGATAAAAGAGCTGTCGGTCATATCGGAGCCCATGGAAGCGGCGTAAAAAGGCATGCGCCAATATGCTCCACGTCGAACTACCTGCACTATAAAGGAGCCTCTGCAGGGCCTGGAGGCGGAAAACGCGGACCTGAGTGTACAGACACTTCAGGCCCTGCCCTCCTTCCTTCAGGGGCAAGTGGAGAACTCCAACAGGGGCCCAGTGCAATCCTGACCAAAAGAACTCCAGAATCAATCTCCGGAGGTGGGACAGGAAACCCGGGGCCGGGGCTAGGGTGTTGAGCCGGTACCAGAGCGTGGACAGGACTAGTTGGTTAAGCACCAGTGCTCTCCCCCGAAGGGAGAGACATCGGAGTAGCCTCGTCCATTTCCTGATCCGCTCAATCACGCCGCCTTCCAAATTTTGCCAGTTCTCCGGCGGAGAAGGGTGCGTGGCAGAAAGGTAAACGCCGAGATAGAGCAGAGGGCCGGCACTCCACCGGATGGTCTGAAGCGCGGGTGGGAGGGAGCTTACCTGCCGCCAGCCCCCTACCGCCAAGCCAGAGCTCTTGACCCAGTTGACTCGGGCGGAGGAGGCTGCCGAAAAGATGGTTTGGCATGCCTCCACTCGCACCAAGTCGCCCGGGTCCTGGACCACGAGGAGGACGTCATCGGCGTACGCCGACAGGACCAGCCGCAGCTCCGGCTCCCGCAGCACCAACCCCGTCAACCTCCTGCGGAGGAGACAGAGGAAAGGCTCGATCGCCAGAGCATACAGCTGGCCTGAGAGGGGCACCCCTGCCGCACCCCTCGCCCGA